AACGCCAATGAAAATCTAAACTAAAAGGAAAAAATTGGTCATGTGGGTTAAAACTTTTCAATAGCTATCCTACAATAGAAGAGTTTTGTGTTCCAATAGTTATGCTATATAGTACGGTAAAATAGAGAAATACATGAAAGATAAATAGTATTTTAATTCTTTTCTACCAATAAAAGTTTTTGAAACTAAATGTTTAGAATAAATAAATAATATTTTATTAATTTTTTAAATATTTTAATAATATATTTAACGTTGGAATTATTAAAATAAAATTTTACTTTAATGAAATTACGTTTTTAGGACAATCGGACATAAAAGGTATTGAATTTTATTTGTGCGAAAAAACGATATTTTTTAGTTGCATCGTATGCTTTGTATCATATTCGTTTAAGTATGGATTCTTAGGTCGAATGGTTCACAACTTTACGTGCATTATTTGTATTCATCACAATTTTTGTAATGTAATTTAAGAAGATCAAATAAAAGCACTTACAGATAAAATTAAAACTATCAGTTTTAATTAATGATTATCATTTGACCAAAATACAAACTTCAACTGAAAACTTACAGATATAAATACTACAATTCCTATGTAGCATCTTGAAAATCTAAAAAGAGCGATTAATTTAAAATTTTCGGTAAATACATCAGATAAAGGATAAATACTTTTTTGAATATATCAAAAGTTGATTACCTAAAATAGCAACTTAGGTTTAAAATCAATAATATGACAAAATCTAGGTCAAGGTCGGGTGTTACTATAATCCAATTATGTCATTCCGAAATAAGAAAGACGTTTTCGATTTCTTGAGTACCATTCTTCACGGCGTCGCTAGTACCGTCCCCAACAAGAATCTCATGCATATGCTGACAAATATAAAAAGGTTAGGCTTAACCTCTGATGAGTTCAAACAGTTTTCATTTTTAATATAAGATAGTAAAACTAGAAAAGATTTATTTAAATCATAACTCAAAAACAAAATATATTTAGTATAAAAACAAAACCTGTCTCAAAATCATCATTTTTATGATGAGAACTTGGTGATCAAAGCACCCATTTTATGATGAAGTCAAAACCCAATACCCATCCAAAACGTGAATAAAATTTAAAATTTAAATACTGAAAACACAGATAAAACTCTATTTTCAAGATATTCAACGAACATGGGTAAGGTTTAATGCTCAAAACAACCAAACATGGATAAGTTCCAAAATACCAAGACCTTAAAGTAAGGATACACTCCATACACAAATCAACATCGAAAACATGGATAATAAATTATCTAAAAATAACACCTTTCGGTGACAGGAGAGACCCTTTCCCATCAAGTGACATAACACTAAATAGGCCACATCGATATGCTGACATGCAAATCACCCCAGCGTACAAGCCTTGGTAATTACTCTTATTGGGGGTAAGATAAGAACACATTAAAACTCCTTACTTAGTCAGTCTCCAAGTTACAAGATGAGAACATCAAAACTCCCCAGTTACCTAAAAATCAAAGGTTCTAAAGCGAAAACATCAAAACTTCTCATATGTCCTCCTGTAACTACCAAAAGGGCCCAAGCTTTTATACTACAACAAAACTACCAAATCAAATGACAATATATTTTTTTAAGTTCATACATGTTTGACTTACATATCAAACCGAAACTACCATATAATTATGTCATTCACTGAATCTGCAAGTCTTCAATCTGCCCATGAAATGCAGGTTGACTTTTCATTGCAACCACAAATATAGAATAGAAGGATGGTCAACGTTTTCTCTCTCATTAGTTGAAATATTATAAGATAGTTTTGTTAAAAGATAACAAGACAAAAACGGTCACATGGAGAGACATGAGGATGATGGAAGTAGATACGTTTTTGATAAAACATACAGTTGTTGCATAATATGATTTAATGTTATAAAAACGTAGTCATGTATAAATTACAGGTATATTTTTGGCTTCGTTAAATCATAATTCTAAAATGAAACATAAATTACTGAAATTAATATGATTTAAATGTGTTAAATACCGTTAATGACATATTTTCGTTTAAATGAATGCTAAATATATAATTTAAATATAAAATTGTATAAATATAAATTCAACATTGTAATTCTAATCGATAAAATAGATAAATTAAACAAATTCAAACAGTAATCAGTTTACGAAAACAAACAGTCTTATTGATTCAGATTTCATATTTCAACACTACCTCTTATTAATCAGAAGTGAAATAAAATTTTAAATTTCATCACCTCTTAAAAACCAAACGTTACTTAAATCATTCTAAACAAACAAAAATATTAATTTCTTTACAATACCTATAAAAATCTGAAAACATACATATTGTGTTCATTAAAGGAAACTTCAAACAACACTTTCTATTTTTAAAAACACCCACTTTTTATTGTTTTTGAGCTTTTTTGACTCTGACAGACCACATAATAGATAGCTGTTCAGTGATAAAATAACTAAAAGTTGATAAATTGAACATGTTTGATAAAAATTAACTGATAATAATTTAAAATTGACGGTTTTGATCGTGATCATATATTTTTTTAATTTCATTACGTTATATGCTAGTTGTGTACTCGCGCCACACGGCGGGAGCCGTGAATTTTAACGATTTTGAAGTTTCATTGATTTTATTAGAGAATATTTAACGATGATATAAATTACACTTGGTCTTTACATATTAATACAATTTGAATAAATAAGAACTATGGTTCCAATTACAGTCTATCGATGAAAAATTATTGTATAACAATTTAAAATCCAACATATTTAAACGACTCCACAAATGTGTTCCATTTACACCAAGAGCAAAAAATCAAGAGATCGAGAGCGAGACTGAGAGTTCTAGAGTAATTGAATGAGAGAAATTTTAATAACTCATGATGAATATCAATTTGAATCTCATTTTGGGGATGAAGAGAAGACATAGAGGTATGAGATGTTGAAGGTGAAATGTGTCTAAAGTATCTTGGGAACATGAAAAGAAAATGTAATAATGTGCATTGGTAACTTATATAATATGTTATTTTAATTATAAATTAAGAGATTTTAAGACTAAATGCATAAAGTTGTAGTACTTAATGCATTATGAGTTGTTTTTAAGACTTTGTACATAAATGAATAGTACTTTGTGAATTAAAAATTGTTTTTAAAACTTTTGATAAATCTAATTTATAATTTATAAGAGTACTCGCGTAATGCAGCGAGACACATCTCGATTTTAATGTTATGTTTTATTATTTGTCTATGTTGATATTATAATACGATTTTATGTGTTTTTAAGAAAACAATAATGAATTTATTTTTTAATAAAATATAAATTTGAAGATATCATAAAAATTTGAAAAAAAATGTATCAATGTTAATATCATATCAAATATTTAAAATTTCTCATTTTTTATGAATTTCTATAATTTATTTTTTTATTGTAATTTAATTTAAGTTTAATAACGAAATAATTTATTTTTTGATTAATAATATAACATTTTATAAAGATAATAATTAAGTATTCTGTTAGAACTCAATGATTATCCTAATTATATTTTTTTTATTTAAAATAAGATGTTTATCTTGTATTTGATTATGTTTATCTACAGTTAGTTACACGAATTCATATATAGAGTTTTAATAAGTTGTACTTATACACAATCTACTTGCAATCTTTAGTTTTAAGTAATATACATTAATAAACAGTACTTTACGCAAAAAAAAAATTAAGAGTTTTTATCAAATGTTTTATAATATATATAAATATAGATATTAAATTAAAATTATACCATTTAGATAGAGTCGATCGACTGATTGAGTCTGTCTCCGGAGCATGTCTTATGCCTTGGAGAGCCGTGGACGCGTATTTTGCGATGGTTGACTTGAAGACGTCAAAGTCGACGTTAACTCTGCCACTAAAGTAAACGCGAATATCACCAATACCCCCACACAACCAATCATATTATGCCACGTGTCATACCAAAGATAGAACTGGACAATATATCATCCCACTTGTCATTTAACAGCGAATGCCACATTTAAATCAAATAATAAGCAAAGTAAAAGCTGTCGATAGAACTGGACAATATATCATCCCACTTGTCATATCATAATATGCATTTAAACTATAAAAAGAATTAATTCAAATTTTGAGATAACATTTTTTTATAACTTAATACTGGACAAATGTTTACCTGCAAAAGTAATCATTTTCGTTTACCTTATGTGGTAACATTCTTTGCCATCAAAATAGATTGATGATAAGCGTATATAACCTGGTAAGCGTTTATCAGGTAATAGTCATACTTTTTTCTTACTGTGTAAGATTACTGGTCTTATCAAAGGGCGTTTAGCGTAGTGATATCGTAATTTTTGACTCATAGAAGGTCAGAGGTTCAAACCTCACCAAATGTGAGGAGGGCGTGTGAGTTTATTTGTTGCATTTGCCGTATATAAATATTATATGCTTCAAAAGAAATAAGATTATCAGTTTTTGTTATGCACAAACAGTAAGGAATACGAACCAATAAGCATTTATTAAGATAAATATTTAATAAACGTTCGCTTACAAAGTATAATACCATGTTATTTTTAATTAAGTATTACATATATAATACCTTCTTCAAAATATGATTTTTTTTTATTAACCTGGATATCCAATTCGTTATGCGAGCCGACTAATCCCAGGACGATCATCTGCTTTGCAGATAGCTCGGAGTCACCGTATTTGAACCTCCGTGGCCACAAGGAGATTTTTATTTCTCATTGGATTTGAATCTGGTATCTCCTGGTATTTTTGACTTTTGGAGTCAAATTCAAACTAATCAAACACCAAGGGTTCCAAAATATGATTTTTGTAAGTAGGTTTTTACAGAAAATACAACAAAATATCATTTTGAAAATATATCTTTGGATATTACCATTATAACCCTGAAAGTCAAAAGTCAAACAAAGGATCGACCATATAAACCTCACAAATCAAGCTTCAAACTCCCATCGCCATGGCCAAACATTTGAAGTTGCTGACGATTCTTCTCTTGGCTCTATTTACATTCTCCGTTTCCGGTGACGACGGTAAGCGTTATGTGAAATTTTCATTAATAACGTTAAGGTTTTTTATATTTTCAATGATACTTTTATATTTCACGTTTATTTGCTTTCTCGGATGGCAATTATTAAAAAAGATACACATGCGTACCATGTTAGCATCGACTTTTCGGTCCATAACCATTCATGATAAGTTTTAATCGTTAATTTTCGCTAACAAAACGAGTTTTTGATTATGGTTTTAGTGTTTTGGAGCGTAAATTGTGGTGCAACTGACTTCTACACCGACGAGAACTCCATATCTTGGGCTCCGGACGATTCTTTGGTTTCAAATGGGCTTGCTCGAGTGGTTCAATCGAGCAACTCGATATCTCCGGTGCTAGATTCCCTTCGGGTTTTCACTAGTAGGAAAAAGAATTGTTATTCGACCCCGGTTACAAAGGGCGAAAAATTGCTAGTTAGGGCTAGTTTCAACTATGGAAACTACGACCGATTGTCAAGTCCTCCGAAGTTTGATTTGCACTTTGACGGGAACTTTTGGACCACTGTTGAGACTACGGCTAGCGGGGCACAAGTGTATGAAGCCACTTATGTTACGAAAGGAGACGCGGCTAGCGTGTGCGTGGCTCAAACAAATCCTAACCAGTTCCCATTTATCTCGTCTCTTGAATTTCGTAGTGTCGGCTTGGAAGTTTATAATCTAGCCGATGATAACCGGGCTTTATTCTTGATCGAGAGGTTATCTTTTGGCGCGAGTGATACGTTAAGGTACCATATTGAAATTAACTTTTATACCATCATAATCGACTTTAGAGCATTTTCATGAGATCCTCCAAACCAGATAAAATGAAGATTTCAAGTTTTTTTTATTTTTAACAGATTTTTCAAAACCTTCGATTTTAATGAAATTATAGAGAATATGTTGAGTTAATATAACAACGTGAACATTTTCAGATACCCGAATGATCTTTATGACCGAATATGGGTACCCCTTAGCGGATCTGGGGCGGTCACAAGCGAGGCGATTTTATTCAACACCTCAATAAGCGATAATCCCCCTCAGGGAATTCTAGAAAGCGCGATTGTGGGTGCTAGCACGACTACAAGTTTGATTTTTGCCACAGTTCAACCATCGAATGATCTCCTCTACATTAATATGTACTTCTCGGAAGTCCTCGATACTACTGAAACGAGAATATTCAGGGTTTACGAGTCGTCGCCGTCGGTAAGCCGTCCTTTGACCGCTACGATTTCACCAGCTTTTGGTGGCGTGAGTGAACGTATCTTTACTAATTACACCACTAATTCCGCCATGAACCTTTCTTTAATGGCTACCGCTGAGTCCGATCTCCCCCCTCTCATAAACGCCATCGAGGCATTTAACATTAGCGATGTTCTAACGGATGGTACCGATAGCAATGACGGTAGGCAACAATTTTGAATATCTTTTTTCTTTCGATTTATTAAATTAATCGTGTTTTTACGTTGTTTGATTCGATTTCTTTTAAACTGAAAAAAACAGTCGCAACTCTAATGTTGTTACAAACCACGTTCGACGTGCTAGCACAATGGAGCGGAGATCCGTGCCTTCCAGCACCGTACTCGTGGGACTGGCTCAACTGCAGCAACGATGCCACGCCTCGTGTAACCTCATTGTAAACAATCTCAAGTTTTCACGGTTTTAATTACAAGAAAAGGGAGAAATATGCGTGCAAGTATATTTGCGAGCGTATTTCTTTCCCGATCATCCATTGCAGTAATTGTGACGAAACGAGTCTTACTTAAATTCGATCAAAATTCTATTTTTGCAGGCATCTTGATAGCTTCGATCTTTCGGGTTCCCTTCCGGACATTAGTTCCATGGATGCTCTCGAGACAATGTGAGTTTTAACAACTGAATATAACATAGTGTTTTAAGTGCATTTCCAACAGCTATGCTATAAATTTTCTATAATAAATTATAAGAAATTAAAAAAAAAAACTCTAAAAAAAGTATTCATAACCACCAATTTTAATTTATAATTTTTTTTTTATTTTTAACAATGATTTATTTTGATGGCAGTGACTTGCACAATAACAGCTTGACTGGAACTATTCCTGATTACCTTGGCACGATGCCTAAGCTCAAAGAATTGTAAGTATATTTTATTGCTAATATTAAGGGGTTGTTTGACAATTGTTGAATGGTTTGGTATATAATGATTAAGAGGCTCTAATGATATAGTGCAAAATGAAATATAATTGTTTGGTAATTGTGTACAATGAAATTATGGCTCTTAATGGTTAAGGGAGATCTATGATACAAAATCATTCAGAGAGTTTTACGACTATTAAGAGACAAACTTTTTTTTTGCCAAACAAGATTCACCTCTTAATGATTCAGAGGTTGTCTCTTAATAGTTCAAACAACCCTTAAGAAAAGGTGGTTACATGTAGGTTGAGATCGAGAAATAAATTTGAAAAAAATAATGAAGATAATAAGTCATCCAAACCGTTAGATTAAAAAGATTCATCGGATGAAAATAAAAGATGGTTATAACCATTTAAAAGATATATACAAATACTTCCCCTTAAATTTTAAATTGAAATAAGCAAAAACAGTAGAAATTGGAACGAAACAAATTACATGAAAATCACATTATCATATTTAATTTGACATTCAATTTAATATATTTTTTCATCCACTTTTTCTTGGTTCTCCGTTTCTTTTTTTAGGGTTTTTTCCTGGATCTTTTCTCCATGTGTGTGTGTATATGTATGTAGGGATGCGTTCACGTGAGACTAGTATGTTTTCGTGAGACCTGTAACACCATTTTTTTACACTTGAAACTTCACAACAAAATGTTGTGAAGATAAAAAAAAAACTTAACTTTCACAGCAAAAACACTGTGACGGTTACCTTCACATAGTGTTGTTATGAAATTTCAAGTGTAAAAAAGTAGTCTCACCGATCTCACGAAAACAGACTAGTATCACGTGATCCTAAGTGTCTCTCTCTCTCTCTCTCACTATATATATATATATATATATATATATATTTCTACTTACGAAATCTAATAGAATTATGAAAACTCTATCTTATATAGTTATATGATTATGATTTGATTTGAATCCTATTTTGTAGGAATTTGGCGAACAACTCGTTTAGCGGGCCCATACCCACTTCAGTGTCAAAGAACAACAAATTGAAATTAACGTAAGTTGATAATTACATACGGTTTTGTTAATTGTAAGTTTTAATTTTCAATGTAAGTAGATGATGTTTTTTGATAGGAAATTATTTTTCTATTTTAATTGTTTTCATATTGTGAACAGTGTTACTGGAAATCCTTCCTTGTGTACATCTGGTAAATCATGTTCGAGTTCTTCCGGAGGGACAACTAGCAAAAAGAAAAGCAGCAATATGCCAATAATACTCGGCACCACGATTCCGGTGTTCTTTTTGATCTGGATTGTTGCTGGTATTTTTATCATCCTTCGCAAGAAAAGAACGAACAACGTCAATGTGTTAGCCGTTGCAGGAGGCGAAGAAAACGGGAAGCCCAACGGGTTGCATACAGTCGGTGAACAAATGATGAATGGGATTGGACAAAATACGGTGCAACAAACTTTTGGATCACCTTCACCATTACTCGATACTTCTGGTCAAACTAGTGATTTGCACGACCAAACAACTGCACATTAATATTCATATGTGGTAGAATTATATTGTATTTTTTATTTTTGAAACACGATCAAAGCTTTATTCTGTTTGTAACGAATAATGTGCATAGAAAGGAAATACGTGTTGTTGGACAATAATGTCGTTTATGTTTTAGCAATTGTTTCAATGGTTATATAAGAAAGTGGAACGTCAATTCTTTTAACGTTCAGTAAACATCTTACAGTAGTAATTCTGTTATGTTTTTATCTTTGCCAACTTGTATTAACTTTGACGTTAGAATGAATAAAAGAGTAATAAAAGTTATAATTTTTCGTGTCATCGTATTATCACATCAGTGTGTGATGTGTGTGGAATTTGAAAGTGGTACATATCATAATGCTACGATTTTTATAGAAAAACAACATCGCCTTATGTGTCATAAATGGTACATGTAAACTTATATTGCATGTAGGGCTGTAAACGAACCGAACGAATACGAACGGAGGCTTGTTCATGTTCGTTCGTTTAACTTAACCGAACAAACGAACGAACACGAATGGTAAACGAACGAAAATCTTTGTGTTCGTGTTCGTTCGTTTAGAAATAAGGTGTGTTCGTGTTCGTTTATGTTCGTTTGTTAACATGCTAAACGAACGTAAACGAACGAACATAAACGAACGGGCTAAACGAACGTAAACGGACATAAATAAATATTATTTGAATTCAAAGTAAATAAATAAAAGATTATATATTAAATTTAATATATAAACAAACATAAACGAACGAATATAAACGAACGTAAATGAACGAACGTTCACGAACATAAATGAACGAACGGGACTCTTGTTCATGTTCGTTCGTCTAACTAAACGAACAAAAAAATGTGTTCATATTCGTTCATTTATTAAATAAACAAACATAAACGAACTTCCCGCCGAACGGTTCGATGAACGTTCAGTTCGTTTACAGCCCTAATTGCATGAAAATTAGTTTACAAAAATTTAAATATTTCGTCTAGCAAAATGTTATAAAATATAAATAGTATAATATATATACACACACACATACTTAACAAATAAGTAATTTTGGGGACACGTGTCATGTTTCTGTGCGACTGTTATTGATTTTTCCCGCCTAAACATGTATCTAGACACAATTTTGACTTACGGTTCAAATAGGTCTATTAAGTGACATGTATCCCTCTACACATTTATTTTCATGTTTTCGTGGTGTAACTGATTTCCCAGACTAATTAGAAATCTCTGGATTTTCATTCCTTAGACTTGTAAGTTTGAATTCCTTTTTCTCAGTTAAAATTCAAAGTTGTCTGTCAGACTTATAAGACATACAAGTATAAAAGTCTGAGGACAAGTCTCAACTCCTTTTCCTCAGTTAAAATTCAGAGTTGGCTTCCAAACTTGTAAGACATACCAGTATAAAAAGTATGAGGACAAGTTTGAACTCCTTTTCCTCAGTTAAAATTCAGAGTTGCTTCCAGACTTGTAAGACATACCAGTATAAAAGTCTGAGGACAAGTCTAAATTCCTCTCCTCAGTTAAAATCCAGAGTTTTCTTCGAGACTTGTAAGACATACAAGTACGAAAGTTTGGGAAAATCAGAGTTATAAGTCTAAATTTAATTCTGAAGTGGCCTCCAAACTTACAACATACTCTGGGAAGATTCAGAGTTGTAAGTTTGAATTTAACTCTGGAATGGTCATCAAAGAAATAATTTCGTTTATGTTTTGTTGTCGGCATATGGTATACTTGTCGTGGAAACAACGATTTGTTTTTCTTCTTCTCGATCTCTCAATCTTTCATTCTCAATAGTTATTTCACTTCTATTCGGATTTTAGCATTTGTCTTGAATCTTGAACACTCTCTCTTTTATTTTGATTTATGAACATGTATTAGTCAAGCATGTCGTGACTCGAGATATTACTATTATATAAGACGATGATATCAGATGTTTCATGTCCATTATAAGTTACTATGCCAGCGTTTTGTATCTCATACGTTTGATGATTATTTTTCTTAAGAGTTGTTGTCAATAATTTGTTGTTGCAAGTCCATTTCTGTGTGCTTTTGTGACTTCGATCATCCTAAATCTGTCTCGGGCAACATTGTTTATAAAAGTTTGAGTCAACAGGGTAAAGGATGCAGAAGTAGTGGCTATTTCTTTGTCTGTAATATTTCAAATGCCATTAAGAATGCAGGTATTTCTTCTGTTTAACATTGTGTAGAACAACGACATTTATAATTGTAGGAATGGCTGAAACAAAGTTACTTATGAGTAAACATGTTTTCACTTTGCACCAAGATTCTTAGTATGGAACCTGTGGCCATAATCTGTCTGTGAAACGCTGTAAGTTCAAAGTTGGTTGCATAAGCACCGACATGATGATCAAGAAGTGTGAATTGTTGAATGCTTGGTAGGAGATGAGTTGGGGTATTACTCTTCAAGCAACAATGAAGGTGTTTTTTTTATTAACTAACTGCAATATCTGAAAAATATCTATCTAAGTTTATAGTTGTCTCACATTTTATTTTTTTGATTAACCTGGATATTTAACCCGCTATGCGAGCCGACTAATCCCAAGACGACCACCTGTTTTGCAGATAGCCTGGAGTCACCGCATTTGAATCTCTGTAGCCACAAAGAGATTTTTATTCCTTATTGGATTTGAACCTGAGACCTCCTGGTACTTTTTGACTGTTGGAGCCAAGCTCAAACCAATCAGACACTACCCTTGTTAGTAGAAAGGATTACTTACCGCATGGTTATAAGACCATGACTGCTTCACTAAAAAAACATTGTTATATTTCATCGAACATTTTGTCATCTTCATACTCTATTTCAAACTTTCCATGAAAAAAAAAATCCCCTGAAGCCATACACAAACACAGATACAGACTTAAATGCAAACATAAGGTTAGAAAGTTACAAGCATTCCTTTTAGACATAACAACATACATTGTGCCAACACAGTGATCAATGTGCTCGACCACAAATTAACAGACGAGGTAAAGGAGAATGAGATGACATATAATATCGTATATAACATTATAGATGAAGAATCGTATGGATGATAAAACTACTTAAAAAATGATGATTGATGCATCAAAATTATTTTATTACAATTTTAAACAGGCCCGGATGAACATATCTGAAATTAATTTTTTGCATCGTTTTTCGTTCATTCCTCCCATTAATCTTAGCAGACTGAGCTTGATATGTCTATAGGTCAATTTTTTCGAGAATAGTTGTTCAAGCCACATTTTTAGTCAGTCGAATTTGATGAACATTCATTTTTTTTAAAATAACTCTATTTTAATCTTTTAGAATACATCTAGTGAAATAAGGAATAAATATATCTCAAATTTACTTAAAATAAGAGGTAAATTTTCATTTAGGTGATGTTTATTTTTTTAAGAGGTGCCGAAGTCTAAAGTTTTTATTTCATTTTTGAAAAAGGTGACGTTGAAGTCTGAAATATGAAACAATGAGACTAATTCTTTTTGCAAACTGATAGATGTCTGAATTTGTTTAAATTATCTATTTTACCCATTAGAAAATTGTAGTGTTGAATTTTCAGACATTTGTTCATCATCATTATAAAAGTTACATATAAATTATATAATTAACATTCATTTAAATGAAAATATATCATTGACGATGTTTTAAACATTTAGATCCTTTTAAAATACATCAATTGAGAGAGATGAAGATAAATTTGGTAAAGATTGATTGAGAGAAATGATCGATTAAGGTTAATCAATGAGAAACACCGTTGCTGAGGTTATGGAAAACAATAAAAGACAAACAAAAGATTGATATACCTCTTAGGCTCTTACTAGATAAGAAGACAATAAGACATAAACGTCTATGAAAAGTTAAAAAAATAAACAGTCTGAATAACCATACTTCTTACAAATCAGCATAAAGGCTCATAAGATTTTTTTAGAAAGAAACAAACAAACAAACAACCCCTTACTAATTTTATTCCACTTAATATTAAAACTAATTATCTAATTCTCAAACAACCCATACAATTTAAAATAAATTACATATTTGGTCCCTATGGTTTGTGAATTGTTATAGATTTGGTACCTTTTCTTTGTTTATTACATGATAATCCTCTAATTATGCAATTTGTCTTGGACTTGGTTTCTTCTCCTAACACCCGTCCACTGTCTCCTTGAACTCAAAGGCATTCTGGTCTTTTTACAACAATCCACCATTTTACGTTTAAATCTTCATCTTCTTCACCTAAACAATCAATTACATCTCCAAATTCAAAATCGGTACTCCAAATCCTTTTTAATTTTTGTTCGTCATACGTATTATAAAGACAACTTAAACAAAAAATTCAATTAATTTATTACGGAATCATTGTAGACAACTGATGTTTTAAATCAAGATCACGAAAAAACTTGAATGAAAAATCAAGAATAATGAAGTATCCTAACTCAAAATAAACAAAATGAATCATATATGTTCACCTCTACCTAAATATGCAAAGCTCGAGATGCACATGCCTCCACTAACCTAGATTTATTCACCTCCACCAACAACCTTAAAACTGAATGCTACCCAAAACTGAAGATGAACCCACTTGAGACAGAGGTGGTATGGGAGGCAAAAATGGATTTCATATTTGGGTTCACCACCATTTCAGATGACGAATCTGGTGAATGGCAGAGGTTGCTTCTCCCAATAAACGTGGATCTCTAAAAACAGAGGTTACAACTAAAAAAGCAGGTTCTTTCCCATTCACACGGGATTTCACCTCCCTTTCAGTGAGTAAATGGCGTGAGTTGGTGGTGTGGACGCAAATGTATTTCACGCTGGTGGTAGGAGTTTGACACATGGAGTGAAAGAGAACTCAATGTGGAAGAAGTGAATGGGAAGAATCTCTGGCGTAGGGGTGGGTGGTGAAGGATATCGGGTAGGAGGATGATCCAAGGTAGAAAGAGAGAATAGATGAGGAGTTATCGTCTTGACCAAAAAGATAAAGATTAAAAAAACAAAAAGGGTAAACTATAATTTTGACCCCGACTTACAAGACAATATGGACGGGCATTAGTGTGAGGGATCAGACACAAAACAAATTACATAGATAGAGGTTTATCAGGTACTAAATGAAGATAGGAGACCAAATATGTAAAAATACAAACCTGAGGGACCAAGTATGTAATTTACTGTAGAATTTATATGTCGAAACATAAAACCAATTATTATGGATTGATTTGATAGGATCCAAACACCCCTCTTAGCGTTACTCCTTTAAAAATATATCCATGGGGATATGCGACGGGAAGAGTTCAAAGCTTTTTCGACCCACCCTCCTCCTCTCTCTTCGTCTTCGATTCCTCCTCATCAACTTTCAACACACATATCTCAGTTTAAAGCTTTGACATCTTTCCACAGATCCATTTCCCTCTCTTACTTCCAAGGTAATCGCTCTTCCCAACACATGTATGATTTTTGAAATTTCTTACGAGCTAGGGTTTTTCAACTTCTCAACTTCTGCATAATCGTTCAAAAAGAAAATTTTGGTTCATTTGGGTTTTGTTTTGTTGTTTATGGGGTGCCCTTTTTTTAGGTTTTTGACAAGCCGTCTGATTTCGTTCTATACATGTATTCGAAGGTAGCGACAAATGTAGCCGTTTGTCACGCGAAGAGATTGTAGTTGTTGAATTTGTTTACCCTTTTGTGTTGTGTTCTCATATGAAGTTAGAAGGTTTGGAATGTTAGAACACTGTTGCAAGTGGTATTGATTGATATGGGATGATAAGGTGTTTTGGTTGTCTGATGGGTTTGCTGTAAATGTGAGAGTCATACATGAAATTGAAGGACACTTGGTTTTGCAAGATTCAGGCTATTTTTCCTTGCCTCTTCGTGTGTAGACGATGACCCGTTATACTTGTTTGATTGTTTCTAGATAACAGTATTTGTATATAGAGAAGAAAGGCAGAATGCTTCACTAGGTCGAGTAGAGTTGGGTGTGTTGAGAATTGAGATTGAACTTACTCTAGTACTTATGGTAGTTACATCAGTCAACTAGTCAAGCTATTTTGAACTTGATGAAATTAACTAACGATTGACGGTATGATGCCCAAGAGAATGTCAATCCCATAGTCATTTGTAGTCCTTTTTCTTGATGTATTTTGTCTTATAACTAACCCCGTTTGGTGAATCGAATGAAGGTAGTTTAGAGTTAGTTTCTTTGAAATCAAAGTCTTCATCAATTCATTTCATACTTCATTTAATCATCTTTCTCAACTAGAGCCTCTGGTTCTAAAGACTAGAGCCTCTGGCCTTAGTTTCTTTGAAATCAAATTTCAAGCGAAGTTCATTGTTTTTTCTATGAATACATCAAAAAATTGTAATCTTTGAGGCGTTTGTTGACAAAATACATTTTATTGCTCATAGTAGATATATTAATACTGATCACTGGTAATTCACATCTCAAACAAGAGGAAAGCTTAATCTTCTTTTTTTATGTTTGAATTCATGTTTCCTCTTGTATGTGTATGGATATAATTAGGATCAATCTTCTTGATATCTAAAGGTATGTGTTTTGTATTTTACAATATCGGGAAAACAGGAGAAATTTGTTTATACTCCATTTATCATTATCATTGTTACCAATTTCTATGGTGCATGACGCTTTAACAGCATGGTTTAGCACTACAAGTTCTTCATTAATATTGGTTGTGCTTCAAAATTGGAATATTGTCTATGCTTCCCTTATGACAATTATGTTCATCATTGAAATATCGGATATCATGCTATATAATCTATATATGCACAACTTTTGGTATTTTTGTGGTTTCGTTTTTTACTTGGTGCTCTAATCTTCTTCTTCTTCTTTTCAGATAATAGGCTAATAAAGCACAGAGAAAAGCTTCAAAATCAGAATTTTCAGAAGAAGAAAGCTTCTCTTGGGCAAGGATAGTTTTCTGCATGACATTTTGGCATTCTTGCAATGTCAGGGTTACTTAATAATGTACTGCAGCTTCTTTACATAAACTATCCTGTACTGTAGTGTTTGTTTAACCTCATTGTAATCCCAATCTTGGTGTAGTCCTTGTATGAAACTTGAATGCTTGTGGAATTGAAGTAGTTCTACTAGGGGGAATAAGAGCACACATCTTTTAGTTTGTTCATCTTTTAAACCTTCTGGGCTCTTGCCTGTTTTCTTTTTCTTGCAGACTGTGGTATGTGGGGGAGATTTCATGTGAGTATGTGTTTGTTCCTTTTGTGTTTGTTGTGTGTGTGTGTGTGTGGGGTTTTTT